CTCTCTGAAGATTCTCAAGCTGAAAGCGCCAATTTTCAAGAATCTCTACATGAAGCCTCCACACCCAACGTTCGTTCAATGCCAAATTCTGAAGAAATGCCCATCCGTTCAAGATGAAGTCATTCACATAGAAGATTCATTTGTTCATCTTGAAGCTGTGAAGAAATCGAAGATAAACGCTGAAGCCAAGCTCACAGAGTGAAGACTGAAGAGAAATGCTAGCCTCAAACCAAGGGGGAGACTATTAGGTCATATTTTGTTGGTTTGGGCTAGGCATTCATTTGTATGAGTCTTGTTAGTCTTTGTTTAGGTGTTTATAGGGTTTGTGGTTAGGTGAACCGAAAACAGGGTGTTTTCGGTTCAACTGGTGTTTGCGGTTGTGAGTCTGTTTACGGTCGTGAACTGTTTGCGGTTCATGTTCCCTATATATAGTGTCAATCTTGTCAGAAGTGGTGGTTGTGTGTGTGTGTGCCCATTATACCAGACGTTTGCGGTTCAATATAAACGTGTGCAATTTGGATCATTCTTGCTTCTACACCTTCTTGTTCTCATTGATTATTGCTTGTTCTTGTGTTTGATCACTATTTGGTTCTAGATTTGGGGAATTACAATTGGGGGGCATTTCGAGAACTTTCAGTCAAGTCATTTGATATTCAAGAACTTTCAGTTAATCAAAACCCTAATTTGAAAATGTCTGGCCGTGGAAAAGGAGGAAAAGGGCTAGAAAAGGGAGGAGCAAAGCGTCATCGGAAAGTTCTCAGGGATAACATCCAGGGAATCACAAAGCCGGTGATCAGGAGACTGGCGAGGAGAGGAGGAGTGAAGAGGATCAGCGGTTTGATCTACGAAGAGACGCGAGGTGTTCTCAAGATCTTTTTGGAGAATGTCATTCGTGATGCTGTTACCTACATTGAACACGCTCGTAGGAAGACTGTGACATCCATGGATGTTGTGTATGCTTTGAAGAGGCAAGGAAGAACTTTGTATGGATTCGGAGGTTAATAGATGTATGAGATGGATAGTGAATATTATGCTTCAATTATTGTAATGAATCATGTAGGACTTGGAGCGAATTGGTTCTTACATTTCAAAGTTTGTAATCTGGATTTGTAACTGAATGAAATTCTTACCTGTTTCGAGAAAAAAAAAACTGTTAGGTCATATTTTGTTGGTTTGGGCTAGGCATTCATTTGTATGAGTCTTGTTAGTCTTTGTTTAAGTGTTTATAGGGTTTGCGGTTGGGTGAAACGAAAACAGGGTGTTTTCGGTTCAACTGGTGTTTGTGGTTGTGAGTCTATTTACGGCCGTGAACTGTTTGCGGTTCATGTTCCCAATATATAGTTTCAGTCTTGTCAGAAGTGGTGGTTGTGTGTGTGTGTGTCCGTTGTACCAGACATTTGCGGTTCAATAGAAACGTGTGCAATTTGGATCATTCTTGCTTCTACTCCTTCTTGTTCTCATTGATTATTGCTTGTTCTTGTGTTTGATCACTAGTTAGTTCCATATTTGGGGACTTACACCAACATACTATGGGTCCAGTCAACCATCGGGTTGGAATACCCCAGGCCCACAACCATTAGGTTGGAATGCCCACATACTACGAGTCCAATCATCCTCGGGGTGGAATACTCTCGACCCACAACCATCGGGTTGGAATGCCCATATACTATGAGTCCAATCATCTTCAGGATGGAATACTCTCGGCCCACAACCATCGGGTTGGAATGCCCATAACCAATTAAACATGTGCACCTATATCAGATAATCACATAACAGTCTATAAAGGCAACATACTAGGGTCCTATAATCCTCAGGATGGAATACCCTCAACTACCAATCAGTCATGTGCACATATAACAGGTAATCTCCTACCACCATACACACAGTCAATCTAAACTACAGGTCACTAAGCATAACCATCCTATCTATTAGGATATCGATCTAACCTATCATAACAACAACAATCTGAATAATAACTCAAAGGGCCGGCCTTGGTGCCTTAGACCCTTGGGTATAGTGAGGATAACTCACCTCGCAATGTCGATATGAACTGAAGAATCAAATTCCCGAATCGTTGTCTCACCAAAAATCCCAAACTATCCAAATAATAAACACTATGTCATTACATGGAATATCAATCTTGACTAAGGGTCCACATAATCCATTTTGTCCTTTCTCTTTATTGGGCCAAGGCCCAATTGCCAAATCCATGATCTTAAAAGCCCATATATCCAAAGCCCATTAATGGCCCAAATTTCCCCAATTTGATCCTAACTTCCTAATTGGGCCTTATTATAGGATCCCTTATCAAAACTGGCCCAACCTCAATTATTCAATGGGCCCAACAAGGCCCAAGTCCAATTAGTCCAAAAGCAGCCCAATCCCGAAGCCCATTTTGTCAAAAGCCCAACAGAGGACGTATGTGGGGCGTACTCCTCCGGTACGCGGGGCGCACTCCGTCTCGCGTTGACTGAAAAATGGGACCATTGACTCAGTATGTGGGGCGTACACGAGTCTGTACCAAAACTATCATAAGTGCTTAATGGCTTAAGCATTTAAGCCCAAATTCCAGATCCATCGACCAAATATGCCTAAGAATCATAAAGTCTTGAACTTTAAGAATTTGGACGTCCAGAAAGCTCTTAATACATGGTCTTAATCAATTAAGACCTTTCTACTACATGCATGGGACATCTTAAGACATTGGGACCTCATTTTTATCACTTAGGACCCTCTCTAAGGTCTGAAAGGACAGCTCATCTCGTCCAAATCATATCATGCACCAACTTGGGACTTTTGGGACAAGAAATGGTTCCATAAAGCTAGAATGGCTAGATCTATATCATACAAGCATAAAGTTTGAAGCTTTTTACCTTCTGGAGCTTCTATAGCACAAGGAAACTTCAGATCTACAATCTTGCCTTCTTTCTCCAATTATTTGATGCAAGGTCTTCACCTTCAAGAGCTCAAAACATACACCAACTCACACTCACACACAAAACTAGGGTTTGGGACGTATCTAGCGTATGGAGGCTGAAATTGGTGGGAGAAATGAGCCATAAGGATGTTTATATAGCACCCAAACCCTAAATATTAGGGTTCCCTTTTGTCATGAGTACGCCCAGCGTACACAAGTGTACGCACAGCTTACTAGGGCGCGCCTAGTACGCTCAGTGTACCCTTATGTACGCGCAGTGTACTCCTCTTGATCCCAAAATTGCAATCTAGCCCTTATGCTTCTCATGGCTTCACCCCTTCCATCCCTAGGGACTATAAATGACAAATCTTGGGATGTTACAATTCTTCCCCACTTAAACTAGGCTTCGTCCTCGAAGCCTGCTACAACGAACAATTCAGGATAATGCTCCCGCATCTTGGCCTCCGTTCCCAAGTCTACTCGGATCCTTTCCGATGTTGCCATTGGTCGCCCTACATAGTTCACATTCTCTCCGACCTGAACATCACCCAGCGATACAACCGCCTACTCATCCAATATGCGCCTTTGCAGCTGCCAGACGTGAAAAGCGATGTGAATCTAACCGAACCTATTCAAAAGGTCTAACCTATATGCCACCTTGCCAATCCTGACCATAATCCTGATGATCCAACGTATCGGAAACCCAACTTTCCCTCTTCCTGAAGCGAACCCTTTATGTGCTGACAGGATAATGCGTCCTTCAGCTCCCGAAATAACATACATAATCATCCCACTAATAAGCAGGAATACTCATGCCTGGCCCAATCAGCCTCGGGCTGGCATACCAAGCATGCCTACGACGGGTCCAGTCATCCCTAGGATGGAATACCCTCGTATCACACACATGTTTGGCCCAATCAACCCTCGGGTTGGAATACCAAACATATCAGGTCCAATCAATCATAGGGTCCGGTCATCCTCAGGATGGAATACCCTAGATTGGAATAACTCTATGAGCATAACTTAGGTCTACTCATAACTTGAGATCCAAGGATCTATCCTTGCGTCTCATCCGCAATCCTCTGATTCGTCACAATCGAGTACAACTCCCCCGAATCTCAACAATACATCCATTTCGAACGCGCTCCTACAAGAGACATAACCATCACAATCTCTATGCCCACAGCCTATGACTGGAATACCCTTACATGGTCCTCAGCATAGGTCTGGATTGCTTCTGATCCCACATCATGAGTCTGGTATGCCCTCTCCGGCCCTCAGCTCATGACTGGAATGCTCTCGATAACCTATCGACACTGCTGTCATCACTTCAGTTGCCCAATACTCCATCCTGGAGATACTCACATCCTCCATTGCCCAAGAAGACCTAACCACTGTCCTTCACAACATCAACAGGTGCCATAGTATTGAAACCTCACCATACACTATCCACTTATAGAACCAGTTGCTACCGCAAGAGTTTTCAGATTCTCCTACATAACCACCGACAATCCTTAAGGCACTCCATAGGTGTTAACCAGTAATCACAAATAACATATGGTTTCATGTTGTGGGCTCAGAAGCAATCCAGACCTATGCAGAGGACCATGTAAGGGTATTCTAGTCATAGGCTGTGGGCATAGAGATTGTGATGGTTATGTCTCTTGTTGGAGCGCGTTCGGAATGGGTGTATTGTTGAGATTCGGGTGGGTTGTACTTGGTTGTGACGAATCATAGGATTGTGGATGAGACGCAAGGATAGATCCTTGGATCTCAATTTACGAGTAGACCTGAGTTATGTTCATAGTGGTATTCTAATCTAGGGTATTCCACCCTGAGGATGACCGGACCCTATGATTGATTCGACCTGACATGTTTAGTATTCCAACCCGAGGGTTGATTGGGCCAAACATGTGTGTGATACGAGGGTATTCCATCCTAAGGATGACTGGATCCGTCGTAGGCATGCCTGGTATTCTAGCCCGAGGCTGATTGGGCCAGGTATGAGTGTTTGTACTTGTTAACTGGCAGGGGCGGACGCAGGATTTCACAGTGGGGGTTGCACGGGAAAGTCGGGGGTTGCACGATAGTAGAAAAAATAAAAATTTTCAAAATTTTCAAAAAAAAATCCACTGCAGCCGGAAAAGTTAGGGGTTGCCGGTGCCACCCTGGCCCACCCCTAAATCCAACCCTGTTAGATGGTTGTTCACGTGAGTTGTTTCGGGAGCTGAAGGATGCTTTATCATGTCAGCATAAAAGGATTCACTTCAGGAAAAGGGGGGATGATGGGTCCCCGATATTTTGGATCATCAGGATTTTTCCAGGGTTGGCAAGGTAACATATAGGATAGACCTTTCGGAGGGGGTTCGGTTAGATTCACATCACTTTTCACGTCTCGCAGCTACGAAAAGTTGCTTAATGGATGAGAAGACGGATGTATCATTGAGTGATATTCAGGACTGAGAGCACTTGAACTATGTAGGGAGGCCAGTGGCAACATCAGAAAGGATCCGAGTAGACTTGGGAGCCGCAGTCCAAGATGCGGAAGCATTATCTTGAATTGTTCGCTGCAGCAGGCTTTGAGGATGAAGCCTAGTTCAAGTGGGGGAGAGTTGTAACATCCCAAATTTGTCATTTATAGTCCCTTGGGATAGATGGGTGAAGCCATGAGAAGCATAAGGGCTAGATTGCAATTTTGGGATCAAGAGGAGTACGTTGCGCGTACATAAGGGTACGCTGAGCGTACTAGGCACGCCCTAGTACGCTGGGCGTACTCATGACAGAAGAAAACCCTAATATTTAGGGTTTAGGTGCTATATAAACATCCTTATGGCTCATTTCTCCCACCACTTTCAGCCTCCATACCCTAGAGACGTCCCAAACCCTAGTTTTGTGTGAGAGTGTGAGTTGGTGTGTGTTTTGAGCTCTTGAAGGTGAAGACCTTGCATCAAATAGTTTGAGAAGGAATGCAAGCTTGTAGATCTGAAGTTTCCTTGTGCTATAGAAGCTCCAGAAGGTAAAAAGCTTCAAACTTTATGCTTGTATGATATAGATCTAGCCATTCTAGCTTTATGGAACCATTTCT